CCAGTGTTGTCGGCTGTTGGCAACCTATGCTAAGCCAGTGTTGTCGGCTGTTGGCAACCTATGCTAAGCCAGTGTTGTCGGCTGTTGGCAACCTATGCTAGGCCAGTGTTGTCGGCTGTTGGCAACCTATGCTAGGCCAGTGTTGTCGTGGAACAAGCCACGACCGTTGTAGATGGTGTGACGTAATAAATAGGCACGACTAATGAAATTGCAAAACAACAATAATGCAATTAAAAAGAATATTTACTTATAATTATGAAGAAAATTAAGTGGAATATAGGATTTTAAAGTAAAAATGTTAAATTAAATCTATAATGAAATAATAATGTATAATATAAAATTTTGTTGTATGTCACTTATCGTGACATCGATATATTGTGTTCGCGTTTGTGAGTCGGTGCTTGAACGATGATTGCATCGGCGTGATGCGTTCTCCTCGCACTCAGAAGCTCAAGTTTGGCGTCGACTCTCGCAACCCTCTCCTGAAGAACATCACTGATTACTTCATCGACGAAATGAGTGCCGAGGAGGAGGAGCTCATTGGCAAGGCGGAAGAGGCGGAGAAGAGTGAGTCAACGATCGACCGTGACAACACCCTCTGTCAGGTGCGTGCGAACGCCGGCATCAGCTCTATTCCCTGTGCGCTCGTGTGCAGCACAGTTGAATGAGAGCGATATATATAATATAATGTATGTGACTTGTATAATATAGCGATATAATATGTAGTGATGTCACGATCATCGATTAAACTCGATCATCGGTTGAACAGTGGCTCGAACCAAGCGCTTGGTTATCAAAATCCATAATCGATTTCATCAACAACAACAAAAAATTCGAAAAAGTGATGAGAATCAGAGATATCATCGCTACTATACAAGTTATCCTTTATTAACATACATGTATTATACACACAGTAGTAAACAGTGCAAAACAAACAGTAAACGGGGCTAAACAAGCACATACATGGCATTACATGCACACACGTACATGCACACGACGTTACGCACACGCAGGCATTCAACACCCCGAGTAACCAATTGTAACCGATCATCGGTTACTTGGGTCCAACCGATGATCGATTAGAAATTACAACCGATTGACAACACTAATAATATGTGACTTGATAATGTTGTTAATTCGGTGTTTATGTGTAAAACTTGCGTCAGTTCTGTTTACATCGAGTTTAGAGCTTTTGGGCACTTTGCCTCAACTGTAGACCTGTTCATACGTGTGAAATTTTCTGCAGTTTTAAAGGAATTGAATTTGACTGTGCAACACATTATCCCATAACTGTGGGTTTATACGCGTAAAAATTGGAGCAGTTGTAGAGAAATCGATTTTGAAGCTAGTACGCGTTTTCCTGTAACCATTATCTTCCAGCTTTTCTGTGGATACTGTCTAGGCGGACAATGTCTCACGTAGTGTTGTGTTTGCAGGTGCTCGATAAAATGATCCTGTATCTGCGCATCGTTCACTCGTTGGACTTCTACAACGCGAGCGATTACCCTCTAGAGGACGAGATGCCAAACCGCTGCGGCATCATGCACTGTCGTGGGCCCACACCAATCAACCCTGTCTCCCAGGAGGACGGTATGTACAGTTATTCTCACACATGCCAACTAGGCATTCGCTATTAGCGCAGGAGCCCAGGGGGGTCTGCCTAGCTGGAAAGGAAACCAATTTTCATGCATATAGCAATGATTCGGGTACATACCCATGTAAGGAAATGTAAGTCTGCCGGGCAGCCGGTGGTGGGTGTGGTCAGTGGGGTCATTTGAAAGGCACCCCAAAATTGAGTTAGATTAGCTGGAGAGGAAACCCCATGAAACCTATTGGAAAATGTTCGGCATGGTCCCAGGTATCAGGAATGGACACTGCCAGAATTTTTTAGTGGTGGGGCGCATCCGCCAGACCTAAAAAACCGTTACCCCAAAATTGAGCTAGATCAGCTGGAAAGGAAACCTGGCACCCATTGGAAAATGTTCGGCATAGTCTCAAAGTATCGTGAATGGCCACTGCCAGAATAAAATTCAGTGGTGGCTGTATCCGCCAGACGCCCCCAAATGTCCTATATATATATATATATATACTATTAGTACAGTGTCCTCTGTTGAAGAATGGGATGGAATAGCAGCTAATTGAGAGAATAGTATTTGCAATAATTATTATATAGATGCAAATTATAATTGCAGAATGCCAAAAGTAGTGTAATTGGAAGTAAATGTGTGTGTCGGATCTTTTTTTCTGAAAACCTGGTCATCTCCCTGACGCGGTGGTTGTGTTGTGTCTGTGCATACGTATATGTTTATTTTAGCTCCAAGAAACGGTATTGCTAGGGTTAGAATACTGTTTCGAACATAGGCTGCAGCTAAACACGTAGTTGCCTTATATTCCAAGTATCGCCAAAGAACACCACACATGTGATATACCAAATGAATCAGTAAACGTCCACCTTCTTGTAACCATCAGTGCGCTACGATGCGCTGGGTACTTACGGGGTTACAGCAACTTTTTGAGACGAATGCAACCAAATTTATGAATTTGCCACCATGTTTGCTATCATTCCGACTGTGACTAAAATCCGCAATGGATCGAACAAAGGAAATTAAACGATCTGCGGTCGTCATGTAAACCACCCCTACATCCGAGAACATGTCATCTAAGGTCTGTGCATACGTATATGTTTATTTGTGCTTGGCAGATTGGTTTGTAATTGTCATGTGTATCGTTTTCGTTTGCTTGCAGTGACGGAGTTCGTTAAGACGTTCTCCGAGAAGATAGAGCCATTCCTGCAAGTGGATGAGAAGCTGACAGAGGATGATGCGATCTCTCTCGGCAAAAAGGACCCGGAAGCGTATCCTCTCAATGCCGAAGCCATTCCTAACCGTTACATGTGGAAATTTATTGTTGCACAATGTCTCTGATTGTCAGTGAATTTCATCTATTAACCAAGTATTTAACCACAAGCCAAACTCTGCTCTGTAGCAGACATTTTTAGCAATCGATTTTTAGCTCACCTTGACATCGTCAAGAGGAGCTATTGCTATGGGGCATTGTACGTCGTCCGTCCGTCCGTCTGTTCGTGAGGGATGTGAACGTCCTATTTTGGAGCATGCCAGTCGAGCCACGCCCACTTTTTGGCAAAAATGAAAATGGCCATCTAGATTCATTCGATTTTGTTAAATTTACCTACATACCTACCTACCTAATTATACCTATGCGTAATATTGTGTTTTAGATTCTTCGTTACAGTAATTTGACTGGAATATTTTATTGCTTTTATTTGCGCGTTAATCGAAAACCAAAATGGCGATCATTTAGGCGTAGCGCCATCTCTCGCCCAGATTTCAGACTTTCAGATCTGAAACATTTATTTTCGCATCAAAACTAATCCTGAAACAAAACAGTGAAATTTCTATTAGTATAGAACAAGGAATAAAAACATTTGATCACATTTCTGTCCGTCATAAATAAAAACACTTACCAAATTTTAAATATCATCTCCCTCTTCTATCACACCCAAGGTGAGGTATAGTGTCATTGACACTTTCAGTTGGTCAGTCGTGTTTTGACGAAGATTTCACCAAGATGAATAGCAATATTGCACGTACGCATCCACTAGTAGTCTTCCTCCTTAACTAGCAATGCGTGCAGAGAGGTGGAGAAGTTCATACTTGCCAACACTCAGGAATTGGCCAAGGATAAATGGCTGTGCCCCCTAAGTGGCAAGAAGTTCAAGGGACCAGATTTCATTCGCAAGCATCTAATGAATAAACACTGCGAGAAACTGGATGAGGTTAGAGCAGAGGTAGGTTACACACACAAGCACCGCATCAGCAGCTGCATAAGCAGCAGTGAGAATAGACACTTAAAATCAAATTTAATTAGCCTTTTAACATCTGAATATAATGAAATCCCACGTGCATTTTCGATCAGCATCAGATTCTCACAACGATATTAAATTTTCACACATTCCTAATGCGATCTCGTTGTTTATGAAATCGTGCCCATATTGTCCCGCTGCAGAGATGCAGTTGCAGCAGTTTATTTTAAGGGTGTACGGTGCATCCACCACGTGCTGCAGCTCATTGCTGTATTTTTGCAATAGGTTGCCTACTTCAATAACTATCTGCTCGACTTGCGGAGACCTGTGGCACAGGATCAGACCAAGATGATGGCGCAGCCACCAATGGGCATTCCCTATCCCCAGGCTCCCCAGCCAGCAGCCAGCTATCATCCACGCCCTCAGCCGTCGTATGGTGAGCACGGAACGCGATAGTCGCTGCCGACATGTCATCGCGATCGCGGGCTATGCCGCAAAAAACTATTTGGTCAGCAGGTCTAGGAATTATTGAGCGCTTGTCTACCAGACACTAATCGTAGTGATGGGAATCTGTTGGAATTTCATCATCGATCATCGGTTGCACCAAACCGATCGATGATTGAAGATAATTGGTTGAATGTTACTGATCGCGGCTACCAGATATTGAAATATATCATATATCATATAATACAGTATTTTTAGCTCATCTGACGTAGTCAGATGCAGCTTGTAGAATCGCATGATTGTCCGTCTGTCTGTCCGGTCGTCCGTCCGTCCGGGAGTGCGTCAACAGTTGGGCACAAACCTTAACCGCTCGATGTACAGTGACGATATTCGGGATGTGGGGCGGGGATCGTGAAAAGGACTCGGGATGATCAATTTGGGGTTCAAGGGTCAAAGGTCAAGATGTGTAAACGGAGGGGAATATTTCCCCCTTAACTTAAGGTATAGGAGGAAATACGGAATTGCGGCACAAATCTGTACATCGATCTATGCTCTTAATATTCGGTGTATATAGTGTGATGGGCAGGAAACCCATCACCAGTGCGAAATTGGAGGTCACAGGTCAAAGGGCACTGGGGGAAAGGTCAGATATCAGACATTTTCTGAGGACATGGCCTAACGGACAGAGTGGAAAACTGATATCACTTTATTGAAAGGACCATGAAATGTGCTTTCCACTGACGTGCGAAGAGTAAGTGTCTGATAACTTTTTGACCCTCAAGAGGAGGGTTAAACATGGATTTGTTGACTGTTAAGAAAGGACTGAACTGTGTTTGATGGTACTTGTGTGATCGTGGAAGACTTAAATTCCATAGTGAAATTCTGCATGCAAAACTTACTTGAACAACGTTTACGCACCTTAAATCATATATGAACTTCATTCTCTATACTGCTATATGCGATTCTGTACGTTGGGAATACAATGTCAATAGCACTTACGCAAACGTCTGTTTTTGATTATGCCAACTATAAATAGGCCTACCTCGCAGACCTGTGCCTGAGGTGGGTGGCTGATAGCACAGCATGGGCTAAAACATAGTTCGGATTATCTATTCCCTGCACCTAGTCAGTATACACGCCATCTATCGGAACAGAGTGAGAAGAATGTCCCGGCAGGATAGGTCAAATGTATATTGCGCTCAAAAGTGCAGAAAGAATTACTTTCTTAACTTCAGTTTAACCAATCTTGAGATAAGTAATTGCAGAAATGAATCATCAAACCTACCAATGAAAATTTGCCAGTTTTGTACTGTCCTTGGCATGGCTCTCTCCGTCGACGTTACAGTAGTGTGCAATGTCGGGATATGGTGGAGCATGCTGGCTTGTGGACGCTGCAGAGTGCAGTTATACGTGCGTCTGCCTTACCTCTGCCCGCCATCTTCGTCAAAAGTTTAGACGCCGCGCGGCGAAATCGGAAAGTACATTTCAATCGATGACGTAACTGATACAGTAGTGCGCCGCGTGGGTGTTATTTGTTTATAAACAATTTAGTCTGACTGACTCTCTCCCTATCTCTCCTCTCGCCTGCTCTCTCTCTCTCTCTCTCTCTCTCTCTCTTTCTCTTTCTCTTTCTCTTTCTCTTTCTCTTTCTCTTTCTCTCTCTCTCTCTCTTTCTCTTTCTCTTTTTCTCTCTCTCGCCTTACAAAGGTGTCACTACGCACGACTGAAATGTTACGTTTATAACCGTAGCAACAGACCTTAGATGAGCCCAGACGCTCTGCGGCTCTTGTTTGTAGTACAATATTCTAAAAGCTATGTAACACTTGTATACATGCTTATGTTTGTTGTAGGTTAGATTTACTGTCTCCATAGCTGTAAAGTAACCAAAATAAACAGAGTTATCGTTCATTCATTTCATCAATGTTTGCAAATTTTATTAAAAAATTGTTTTCCTTTTTGATGAGCGATTATTGATTTTCGTAATCGAGCGCTTATTCCGGTTGCTGCAAGCGACTGACAATCAATTATAATCGATCTTCTGGACATCACTATCTAATCCCGTGCAGAAGTTGTCAAAAGTCGGCCGCGTCATGCGTGTTTGCTGTAGTGTTCTGACAGGTTGGCCTGTGTCGTATCTGCAGGTGGCTATGCTGGAGGCGGCGGCGGTTACAGAGGAGGGTACAACCAGGGTGCTGACGCAGGCTTCTCCCGAGGAGGTGGGAGAGAATACCACAATCGCAGTGGTCGTGGACGGTAAGTAGTATGTTAAGTCATCATATCATATATCATATATATCTATTCTGCACTGTTGAATATTAATAGAATAACTGACACCTTGTGTCGTTAATAAGTATACAAGCTTATTGCCTAATTCACATTAGTTTGTCCAGTTTCAGTGCTGGGTACCTTACAAACCAGACCCGTTAAACAACAATGAGTTCACGTGAGAATAAGATTAGGTAAGATGTGTGAACCGTATGTTCTAACCAGAGTGGTGAACCGAGAATTTATGGGGCGTTACGTATGCAAAAAAGCTGCGATGCAGATATACTCTGTTATACTCGCAACCACTTTGTGACTCAAATTGTAAGCAACTGCTGATAAACTGAGCTTATTAGCTATTATAATTGGGCTTTTTATTAGTAACCAGCAGTGAAATTTGACAACATAATATGAATTTGGATGTAAGAAAATAAACAGCACAAGGTTTCAGTTATTATAGCATTTGTCAAGATTGCGGATTAGATGGCCATATTTGGGCTTTTACGTACAAGCATGTAAATCATACTGCCGAGATAAACGAGACAGTAACGGGTATTTTTGCTTGTTTATAAGGTGGCTAGTAGATAGAATAATGTTAAAATTCCATGATTCATTCACATATACATATGAAAACATTTGTTGCGACTTAACATGCATATTATCTGGCCATCTTGAATTCCCTTTATCATCACTGTAAGTCAAGGTTACGGAGTATTGCATCATAATATTTTCTCATTTTTAATTATCTATAAAAACTGTGCTAATAATAATAACTTGTATGTACTTGTATGTATTTACATATCGTGCATTGCCTCGCATTTCCGAGCGCAGATGTTAATAAAAATTAGTGTAGGACCTTTATATCACATACTGTGCGTATAACGTCTACTGGTGGGGATGGGGACCACACTGACAACTGAAGAACTTGGAAACAATACGTAAACCAGGAATGTTAAAGTGATTACGTCACCGTAAATAGTAAAAATTAAAAAAACATTAATACATAAAAGTAATTCTGTTCACTTTTTATGGTTAAATTGCTGCATTATACTTCTTATTTTACTATATTGTTCGATGTGAACATACACTCGTGACTTATACATAGCCCATAGCAAGCAATTAATGTCAGGAACACAATATCAAATCGTCCAGGTTTTTTGGATTTTTAACTAGTTGAGAAACAATCTTATCAGGTAAGAATTTGACGATACGTTTAGTCCCGTTAGTTCTTACTTTTAATGTAAAAAAAATGGGAACAAACATTTTACAAATTTTACCATAGAAAATTCGTGACGTAGTCAATTTAATACCCGTTTCGAAACGATCAATCCTGGGATTGGGACTTAAACTTCGCATGGGCTCTGGCTGCAAACTGTACTGCAAGAGCGGGTATGAGGAAACGGCATTTCTCACGTTTCTGTTTAGGTACGGCGACCGACGCGACCCACGCGACCTCATACAGTACCAGGATCTAGACGCACCGAACGACTACGACATCTTCTAGATGCCGCGCCGGCCCCCGCTCATAACCCGCTGTTCAGTTTATCATTTAGATGGCACGACATCTGGGAGGCGCCATGCTAAAACCTGCTGTTCCATTTATCATTCAGATCGGTTCGCCTGGGAATCGCACGCGCGTGCTCGAAGCACGTGCGAGTTTTTATATAACGTGTAAATTCACGCCCCTCCGCCACCCCCTCGTCATTTTAAGTTGTGATGATCATAAATGGATGAACGCAGGTTTTCGTATGACGTCTTCTAAATCTTGCTATTGCTCTTTCAGTGGCGGATACTTCCAGCAGTCATGACGGAACTCTCAGCTCATTAGCTGGAAACTGTAAGAATCTAATTCCCTCAGGCAACAATGCATGAGTTTAGCAAGTGATCGCAACCCCTGAGTGTCTCGTTACATTTGGCAAAAAAACAGACCTATTTATATGAAAAATGAGTTTGCTAATCACTCGGGTAGAAATGCACATAATGCATTTCGTATGCCTTGGCATTGCTGTGGCAATGCAATTATTTGTTTCAGTAAGGTGACGTAAATGGACTGGTCAGTGATCAGTATATCAAGTTACTTGGTGAACTCTTAAATTGCTGTACGTAATCTAAATACTAGAAATTATGAGCACGCATCTAAGCTTCATAAGCATGTATGTATAAATTTAAACATTGGAGCATCACGTGCATGTGTGCGCGATATCAAAAAATGCTAGCTCTTTGCTAGCTTATCGTACATCATGGTATTTTTATTGACTGCGAAGTTCATTTTTTATGTTACTAAACTGCTTTTATGGCAAATGCCAAAATATAGTGTTCCACTAAGTAAAAGGGAAAATGAATATTAGTTGTCCGGCAAAAACATTTACATAAATTATTACGAAGTGAAAAGTAGGGGCCGTTTACAGACATTGGATGAAAATTATGGACAATTATGGAATGTTCATAATACAAAATAAAAACTTTCTAAAAATGTTTTGCAATATTCAATAGTAATCCATATGATCAGCAAACTGGTGTTATGTGTATCAGCATGTTCATTTGACAGGAGTAGCAGACTGTTGGCTCAATGCCAGCAGTTCTACATGCTTGTGTGCATGTATATGCAACTCTCTAGTCTATGTTTGATAGTAAAAACAACGAACACGCTTATTAAATAAAAACGTTTGATTCAGTTTTTCTTTAGTTTATTCCAAAAAAGGGTTTCTTACACAAATGAATTAATTTTACAATATATGCTTAATATCTGTTATTATACGTGTGCTTGTCTAGCTTGCTTATATGGGCAACTTCAACTTATTTGGCAGTGCTTAGTCAACTACACATGTGGTCATCTTTTTTCTATTAGGGCTGTTATTGAAGTGTCTGTAATTGTCCGTAAATTTCATCACCGACTTTCCATTATCGTATATAATCTGCAATTTTCACTTCATCGTAAATCCTGAGTGTTGATATCCACATTGTTATCAATTGTTTACAACTCTTGTAATGTTCCTTTAACGTGGAATCTGTCTCTGTTTTAAAATTGTATGCATTGTCTTTTACCACGTTTATTTTTCCACAAGTTATAGTTGTATAATACTTGAAATTACTGTCATTGCCAATACAACAAAGTAGTAATTGTTTTGTGCATTCACCTATCTCTCTGCAGCAATAGGTGGTTACATATATTCATGTCTTGTAAGATGATATATCCCTTTCTCCATATATTCATGTCTTGTGAGATGATATATCCCTTTTTCCAGAATAGCATATAAAAGAATTGCAACATGTGTTAAACTTTGTTAATGTGTTTGATAATTAATAAAAGAGCGAATGTTAATGTATAACGTTTGTATAATAATTTTAATAGTAGTATTTTGCCTGTTAACCCCAATACCACTAGTCTGGTCTGAACATCGATGGTCATTAGATAGACCCAAAGTGTATTGACTAATGACTTATTAATCAAACTTGGTAGCTACAGACAACAAATCGGTCACCGCTTCTACCTCCGTTGTTTATCAACTGGATATCATCTGTCATCAGCTATGACTCCCTGGTCAGTGCTACCAAGTCTGTCATCATTTCTATGATGCCTTTTTGTAGGTTTCCATGTGTAACCTCGCTTAACTCCTGCAAGGTTGGACGTGGCAGCTGCAAGCATCAATGAGGGAATTTACAGATTTCCTATAGTAAATTACATAGCAGCTAGAACACACCGTGATGTGACATCAGTTGATTTTCGTCGAATCTAAAACACCTAAGTGTACGTTACCGCAACAAGGTACATGGTTGTTATGGTAATGTTGAACATAAGACACTTGTGCAAGGTTTCAATGATTACTCACCACTTCCAGTAGCTCTTGTAGAAGACCAGGGCTCTGCATTTCGTACACTAAGGATTGGATCAGCCTGAGTGCATGTTCCCGGTTCCCCTCACATGTGTCACCTACAGAAAAACCTCCTGCCCTAGTCAACATTTTAATATGATATAGGATGCACTAAAGAACCTAATGCTGTAATGTGACAACCAGAACACTTTTAGTGATTGGTGCACCTTGGCATCTGTGGACGTTACTTGACCAGTTTCACTGTGGAATTTCACGAGTGTATAGGGCAGCGTTGATGATTGCGTGCCAAGTGACCCAGCAATAGTAATAAGATAACATTGACACCTTGGACTTAGACAAGCAACTACTTACTGGTCACGGTGTAAGCCAGTCTCCCTATGATTCCATGGCTTTGACTAAGCAATTTCAGGCCTTCCTTATTGATGCTTACATTGTACAGCGCCATCAATAGCAGCCTCAAAAATGCAAAACGTTGACAGATATGAAACAGTTTTGCATAAAAGTGCATACTTCATACTTGAACTATTCTGAAAAATGGAATAAGTGTGGCAGCCCAACCTCAGTGTATCATACCAGTCTGATTATAAGACTACTTTCCAGTGATTATACTAATGACACTAATGAACAAACTACTAAGTCCATTATAGATTTTGGCTGCTAACCACTTTACTTACTTTCTAAGCTTAGGAAAGGAGGGTGGGGAAATGGATCTCAACACATCTGTATACATTTCCACCAGCTCTCGGCCACTGACATTTCCCATGAGAAAATGGCGACCGTATGGGACGGCGGCAATGTTAGTAATGATACCACACAGAGCCAGCACAAAGTGTGATTCCTCACTATCCTCTACCATCTGTGTGCATGGCGTGTCGTCGTTATACGTCTGCACGTAGCTGTCCAATGTGCCAACAACTAATCGTAGGAAGTCGTCCACCTGGAGATGAAACAACAGACTTCAACAGCAGAAAGCTCGAAACAAGGCTTAGAAGTCAGCATATGTATAGGAGACAACATCTAGACAATATCAGAGACCATCACGATTAGCTTAGCTAGCAGTGACTATCAAAGACAACTGAGAACTGATACCATGACACAATTAGATTTGCAGGCATGAGAACAGGTTGAGATGTTTTTGGAGGAAATATTTAAATTCGTGCTGCACACTGTCCTGCTAGGGGGGTCTGGGAGCATGCCCACCCAGGAAATTTTTTAAATTTGGAAGAGCAGATAGGCCATTTCCATGCATTCTGGGGAAAATTGTAAGTCCATTCTGTTTTTAGTAAAAGACCAATTTCGTGACTAACAATTCAAAGTCTAGTCATTTTCTATGAAAATTTCAATGTTTTATGTGGCGGTTAACTTAAAGCATGCCTTAATTTAGATTACATAGATACACCGCGATATTTATCTGGAGTTACGTTACTTCTGTGTGAAATTTGACGTACATTTCCTGACTTTTTATGACGTTTAAATAAAAAATGGCATCCATTTTGACAAAAAAAGTACACCTTACCCCCTAAACTTTTTATTAGTTTTTTGCATCAATCTCCCGGGGGGGGGGGGTCACTCTCTATTAGAACATTACCCAATGTGCATTCTCACTAAAATAATAGGCCCCCTAGTGCGAACTGCACATTGGAAAACCCTACCACCTATTACAGACACATTGAAGAATACCACCCCCTATTGCATACACAATGAAAATATCCCACCCCTATTGCATACACAATGAAAGAGTTCTACCGGGGGTCCTACCCCCTATTGCCTTCCTCTTGCAGACAAGTGGAGGGCAAAGAGTAGAGGGAATACTGGGGGGGTACTATGTGGTTCGTCATGAGGGGGGCCTACTGCGGGCGCGGTGCTTGACTTGAACGATCCCGAGGCTTATTGCGGGATTAGCTTAGTAAAGGGGGGCCTATTTGCTCCCGCGCGGGCCGCTTTAGAAGTTGAAAAACACACCCCCCGAACTCGCAAAATTTGGCAACGCACATGGGGTAATAACGGCATATATAGTGACCCCCCACCCCCGGGATCAATCTCAAGAATGACTAAAATGAAGACTAAAACCCGGAAATCTGCGAATGCGTGGATATTTCTCATGCCTGGATTTGGGAAAAAGATGGGAGACAATAATATCATTTTCCAATAACATGATACCATGGGCTAAGAATTCAGCAATGACATGCACCTTGTAAACATAGATTTATAGACATGGTCATGGGATGGTGCTTTGATGGTTACCTGTAAATCCAAGCTTCTAGCATATCAGTTACTGTATACCTGCCCAGGTGTGTTTACCTTACTTCCCTGTAGCATGGCATGTGTGCTACTCTCGGTCTGGGACACTCGCCACAGCAACGTTGCTAGAGCACTACCCAGGCTAACACAGTACTCAGACTGCTGGCCTAACTGGTTGCTTAACAGTTGTGCCTCACATCTCAGATGACACTTTTCCTGTGCATGAGAAATTCGCAGAAACCCATTGGCAGATACAATATGATGTACTCGTGTGCATCTTACAGACATATTAGTAGATTTATGCATTGAATTAGGAATACTTTTAGTGTTTGGTGGTCTTGATTTTTTTATGGCTTATATATATATTTTTTTAATGTATTTGGCATGCACAACCACCCTGCCTTCTGAAATACATGCTTTTTTTACGGTATTTAAATCAGGAAGTAACATTTGTTATCAGGAATGTTCTGGATTCTGTATTTTCTCAACTTCTTTCTCCTCCTCAAGGATCTGTTGCTTGGCTTCAAGCCTTGATTTCCAACAGCTCACTTCTGCAGTGGCTCCACCTAGCTTCGCACGCAGTGTTTCTGTTTCTGCCAAAATTTTCAGATAAAACACCATATTCTTGACACTTACAGTTACATACTTGACTATAACGTAGCATGCTCGATAGCAATTTTTATACTTTATAAAACCAACTACAACTATCGAGAATATCTGAGTTAGGAAATTACACTGATTTTGCGAAAATATTAATAACATCTCACAAGATTATCCTGTGGTCTTACCATCTAAAGTCTTGTCCAGGGCTTCACTTAACTGATGTATGTCTTGCTGTATAGTTTGCTTCAATGATTGCTTCAGCTGCTTAGCTTCCAGCTCCAGCATGTCTAGACTCCCCTTGCTTACACATAACTGGCCCAACTAAGAAGTAAACACCAATATACTATACGTATGTACGTGATATGCATGTTTGAACACCTTCCTCACGTGAAGATTTTTTTCCGACATGCTGTTATCCCTATAATCACACTCAATCCACAAAACGGCGCCACACCACTCATGCATGCCCAAGGAGGCACGGGCACATGCATGGGCACACTCACGCATGCGCGTGTGCTCACGCATGCGCGTGTGCACACACGCACACACATACACACACACACACACACTAGATAACCTATATAGTATCAATTTGTTTAGATCAAACTGATGATAAATACATTATTACGAGGATGCAGAACCGCTATTACCTGGTTTCTACTTTTAAATTCATCAGCTTGAAACTGTTTCCATTCTGTCATCAAACTTTCCACATTTGCTTTTGTGAACTCGATCAGCTTTTCCTAAAAATAACGACATGAAGTTTATGCTTGTACTTACACCCTACCAAACAATAATGATCCTCCAGTACCAACTGGTATGAACATATATTTGTACAGTGCTATTCTCCAGAAATACAATGTGCTACTGGTAGTGGTAATAACTGCGTAAAGGACGACTTGGAGCTAACTGAATTGTTTTTAATTCGGTGAATGTTTGCTGTATTTTGAGTTAGATCTAAGAGGCAGCCATACATTGAAAGACAGTGAAAAACATTTTTATTGATATTAGTCTTGCAAGCCCGGTCAAACTAATTTTGAAGAAGACTTTTGCATGTTTTTATAACAATAACATACAACAATTCATGTCGATTATGATAGGCCTGATGCAAATACACTAATTTAGGACTTGTTGCAATCTTGTGACAGCATGTCAACCAAACAGAAACAACTAACAAAATTAAGCAAAGTCACATAGTTTATATAATGATTACTCCCCAAAATGATTATATTTATTATTTAGAGCTGTGAGCCTAAGGCACGTGAAGGTGCTCAAATACAAAAAATTCAAATCTATCGACCTACTTCTGCCACTCAAGTCACGGCAGACAATCGCTGCTTCGTGATCTAGGCCTAGATTCACTGCCAGAGAAACTGCACAGCTAGGTTAGCCTTTGCTTTAGAAGTTAAACTTTTCAAAAATTATATATATACATTTGTTCGTATATATAATTATTATAAACAATATCATATATACATGTAGAGATGTATATATACACTAGACTATCAGGGCTGCCAACATTGGGTGATAGGTAAGATTGAGATGCGAGGGAGCGAAGCGACCGAGAGGGGGTGGGTGTGGGAGTGGGGTTGGCCCCCTCCCACGGTAGGGAGCTTTTGCATTTTATAACTTCAATTTGTGCAATTTGGTGCATACTAAAGTGACTGTTTTCAGGTATTGTAAGATTTTTTTTGCTGTGCGTGAGATATTTCAGCCTTTTATTCATGAAGAGATATTCATGCGTGAGATATCTCGGCATTTTTTTGCAGTGCGTGAGATATTGTAAGATCAGCGTGAGAGCGTGAGATTTGGTCAAAATGCGTGAGAGTTGGCAGCCCTGGACTACCGTATGTATATTTGATACGTGACTAGTGAAATTCGAACTTCTTTGCCTCCAATGGTGAAACGTCTTCCGGATGCCACAAGTGCGACCAACGGCGACGCCTACGCCTACGGCTACGGTGCGTGGTCAGTCCAAGCCAAGGTTAGTTCTGGTTGATTTCCGTACTTACACTAGTGAAATTCAAACTTCTTTGCCTCCAATGTTGAAACGTCTTCCGGATGCCACAAGTGCGACCAACGGCGACGCCTACGCCTACCTACGGTGCGTGGTTAGTCCAAGCCAAGGTTAGTTCTGGTTGATTTCCCTACTTACACTTACAGCATCCTTTAGCACTGTTCTCTCGCTTTCGTAGTAATTTGATTTCACCGTGGGAATTATGTGGTGGCTTGGACCTTCTCTCTGCGTTGTAGCAACTGCAATATCACTTCTTTCCATTTCAATCTCGTCCTAGCTTATGTTGGAGAGTGTGGTTTGGCGGCGACTACAATGCGGATTATGCCGATCGAAAAAAGGAGCGACACTAGCGCCTCTGCGGAGTTAGAAGAAAAATACGCGGGAGACCCAGTAGGCCCTACGCTGTGTCAGTGTGTGTTCCTACCACTGATCTCTATAATAAAATTGTATTATACTATAGTCTAGAGACCAGTGGTTCCTACGCCTGTGTGTAACACGCCGGCCATCTACTCCGTCAAATTACTATCGTACGTTTCTATCAAACAGCATTTTTGATTCACCTTTCGTATTTATTCCCTTCTCTATCTGCCTACCTTTGCGTGTGTCTGTCTGTATATCACTATCTATCATAGATAGATAGATAGAATACATAGATAGATAAATAGATTAGATGGCTGGTTAAGATTACGATAGATAGAGAGATTAGAGTAGGATAATGGGGCGGGAGTACGATAGAGTAGATAGATCGATAGGATGCATAGATAGATAGATAGGATAGATTGAGTAGATAGACAAATAGGACGTGGGATAGGATGAGGATAAGATGAGAGTAGATACATAGGATAAGATAAATAGATAGATGGATAGGGGTAGAGTAGGGATAATAGAGTAGAGTAGAGTGAGGGATAGATAGATGAGATAAAGGATAGAGATAGATTAGGATAGGGGCTAGGATAAGAGGTAGATAGGATATGCAGGAGCTACGGACCTGGATAGATAGAATAGATACGGATAGATTAGGATAGATAGATAGATAGCTAGATAGATAGATAGATAGAATAGATGAGATAGATAGATAGATAGAGTTTGATAGAGGTAGAGAGGGAGGTAGGTAGGGAGAGGGATAGATAGAAGATAGGATAGCGGTGAGATAGATAGATAGATAGAATAGATATTAAGTGGGGGGCGGGGGGGCGGCCGGTGGGGCGGGGCCCGTGAGCGGGGGGGGGGGGCCGGCGGCGGATGTGTAATAGATAGATAGATAGATAGATAGATAGATAGATAGATAGATAGATAGATAGAATGATATTGATAGAGACAGAGATAGATATAGTGGAT